CCCCCCCGCCCCCGGTGGGTGTGAGCGGCGAGGGGCGGCAGAACCGGGCACTAATTCTGCAGGGCATTGGACTCACCTGACGGGTACTTGCCGACAGACACCTGCAGCCCCTCTCCGCGTTAGAACTCCGACAAGCCCTCTGCCCCGCTGGAAAAACGGAGGCTTCCCCCACCCCAGCTCCCACCCGATGTAGAGTCCTCCAGTGGGGGGTCGGGGGTCCCGGGTCCTAGTTCCAGCCTCGACCGGGGCCTGTGGCAACGCCCTGCCCCCCGGCAGCACAATAATGAAGTAGGCCAGAGCTGGACACTTGTAACCAAAGCGGGGATCAGGAATTGCTGGTTCCAGGAGCCGCAGCGCTGCCTCTCCGCCTTACTTTTTCTCTGCGTCTTGTGGTTCTTAACGATAAATGATACACGAGGGGTGGGTGGAGCTGGGGCCCTGCTCCCGCGGGGTGGCTCTGCCTGTCTCTGGGGGCCTGGTGTGTAAAATGTTCAGCACGGTGAACACTTTGCTGTTATCATTGGGTTAGAGCTGGGGCTGGGGGGCGGGGATCTTTCCCAGGACGCGGGATGAGGCTGGGGGCCAGGACCTGGCAGCCCCCAAAGGGGCTCAAAGTGGAGTCGTGACGAGTCAAGCCGAGGCTCCTCCCCCTCAGGAATTAGTTGATAGCCTTTTGGACCCCAGCCCTGCAGCGAGCGACAGCCCAGGCAACCAATCAGGTGCGGGGACGGCTTCGGGCAGGGCTCCCATTGGCCCGCTTCGCCCCTCCAGGGACAGAAGGGACCCTTAAATAAGTGCCTGCTGTTTGGCTCCAAGCAGAGCTTCCAGGAATCTTGCACCGTGAGCTAGAGGAACGAGGTTCAGGGAGGGCCAGGGGTTGCCCGCAGCCACACAGTGCGTCTCAGCCGGACCCTCCGTCGTGTGCTCTGTGCATTCCCACCATGGCCTTCTGGACACAGCTAATGCTGCTGCTTTGGAAAAATGCCCTGTATCGCAGGAGACAGCCGGTAATGCCAGGGCAAATGGGCCAGGGCGGGGCGGCCCCGGTGTCCCCCACGGTCCCCCACTCCCCCGCCTCTTCTGCCCCTCTCCCAGATCCAGCTCTTGGTGGAGTTGCTGGGGCCTCTGTTTCTCTTCTTCAACCTGGGTGCCACTCCCACCCCCGACTGGAGCAACATGAGTGTAAGCCCCCCCTCCCCCCCAGGGACCAGGCCCTTTGTGGGGGAGAGGGGAGGCACTGGGTCACCCTATCCACAGGGTCCCGTGAGCGTCAGAGAGCGCGAGTCTGAGTGAGCACTCTGTCCACGAGGGTGCAGACACGATGGGGGTGCAGGCAAAGCTCCCCACGCCCAACGTCCCCACAGGCCACTTCCCCAACAAGCCGCTGCCCTCGGCCGGCACCCTACCCGGCTCCAGGGTCTCATCTGCAGCATGAACGACACCTGCTTTCCGCAGCCCGCGCCTGCCAGGTGTCCTCAGCAACTTCAAGGACACCCTGTGAGCAAGCGGGGGTGGGTGCAGCAGCCACAGGCACGAGGGTGTCTGCCGAGCCTCCACCTGGTGCTCTCTCTGCCCCCAGCGTCCTCTGGCTCCTGGCAGATGCCCACACCATCCTTGGGGGTGGGGGACGAGAGCCCACAGGATGCTGGCCAGCCTGGGAAAGCTAATGCCAATGTTGAGAGCGGCGGGCGGGGCAGGTGAGGAGGCCAGGGCCCTTTGGCCGGCAGGGATGCTCTCTGAGCCCCCACCTGCCCGGCTGTGTCACGGGCACAGGGCGGGAGCTGTCTCGGGCCAAGCTTTGCCTAAACTCGTGCTTCTGTGTGTTCCTCTCCCAGCCCGGCCTCAGCCAAGCAACCGGCTGCGGGACCACGTGCCCCTGACCACTGAGCTACTGGGGACACTGCTTTGAGAAATGAGATGGGGTGGGGTGAGACCAGGTGACTCTGGGATGCTGCCTTCAGGGGGGTCCTCAGCCTGACCCTCTGTCATGTCCTCTGCTCAGCTCCCACCGTGGCCTTCTGGGCTTCCCCATCCTGGCCAGGGGCCTCTGGTTCCGGCTTCCAGGCCTTTTCCTGGGCTGTCCCTGGTTCCTGGAGGGACGAGGGATGGGTGCCCAGATGGGCTGTGTCCAGCATGGTGGTGAAGTGTCCGGCCCGTGCGACCTTGCATGAGTCCACGTGCCTCTCGGAGCCTCCGTTGCCCTATTTGTAAAACGGGATCTTCGGGAGCTTGGCAAACTGCTACACCCCCGGTGAGAATGCCATCAAGGTCATTATCGCCCTTGTGGGCTTTCTCCCCAGCAATCCCTGGCGTCTGGGCTGGACCAAACCCGGGAGTCCATGAGGAGCTTCCTGGAGGCAGCAGAGAACGTGGCCCAGGAAGTAAGCGGACCACTCACCCTCCACCCCAGCTGGGAGGCTGAGAGGGGAAGCTGCCCGGATGGGGAGGTCCTGGGAGGGCTTGGGCAGAAGGGGCGAGGGAGAAGGTGCTCCTGGCAGGGTCCTTCCCCGGTCGAGGCTGGGTGGCATCCTTGGTGACCTCTCCAGCTCCTGGCACTGCCCGGCCTGGTGGAGCTGTGGGCGCTGCTGCGGAGACCTCAGGGGACTAGCTGGCCCCTGGAGGCTGTGTCGGAAGTCCTCTGCGGTGCCAAGGGCCCTGGCGTCCCAGGGGGCCCTCCCTCGACTGGTATGAGGCCACCCACCTGAAGGAGTTGGTGGGGCAGGAGCCCGCCCCGGGCCTGCCCGACAGCAGCCTGAGTGAGTGACTGACCTCTAGTCTGGGAAGTGGGGCAGTGGGAATGGGGGCAGGGCCTCACGGTGCCCCCATCCCAGGCCCTGCCTGTGCTGAGCTGATGGGATCGCTGGAAACCCACCCACTGTCCCTCCTCCTCTGGAGGCGCCTGAAGCTGCTAGTCCTGGGGAAAGTGGCTTCACCAGGCGGCTCACGGCCCAGGTAAGGGCAGGAGTGGTCCTGGGTCCCTCCCTTAACCCAGGGAGGCTGTGCCAGGCCAGAGGGGGGGCCCTGACCCCGGAGGCTTCCTGAGATGGGTGGTGGACTCCAGGTTTTTGAAGAAGTTAGAGTTTCCCAGATTGCGGGCAGAGGAACAGAATGCACCAGTGCTCAGAGCCACGGGCTGGAGCAAAACGGGAGAGGTGGGCAGGGGTCCTCAGAGCAGGGGAGGGTCGAGAAAGGGCTGGCCTGGCATTTATCTTGGTGCCCACCTGCCACAGGGGAACCGGACCTTCTAGAAGCTGGCTCTACTGAAGGGCCTCCAGGAGGCGTGGGGTGTGCTGGGACCCCAGCTCTTCAACTACTTGAACGACAGTACAAATGCGGCCATGTGGCAGGTTACGCCAGGTCGGAGGACAGCAGGTTCATCCAGGGCCTCCCTGGGCACATCATCCCTGCCCAGGATGTGGGGGCGAGTGTGCAGGCGGCTTGTGGAATCCAGGGGAGCTCAGGGAGGGGGACCCAACTTGGAGCAGTGCGCCATTCCAAGGAAAGCCTGAGGAGGGCCACAGCTTGGCCCTGCAGAAATCTGATGGCCGAGCTGGGCCGCGCCCTGGTGTCCCCGAGGAAGAAGCGCCGCCTGGCCCTGAGGTTCAGGGGAGGATCCGGGCACCCAGGACCCACACCCAGGCCCTTCCTCAGTGTGTGACCCTGGACAAGCTGGAGGCGGCACCCTCAGAGGCAGCCCTGATGGCGCGGGCCCTGGAGTTGCTCGCGGAGCACCACTTCTGGGCCGGCATCGTCTTCTGGGGCCCGAGGGACCTTTGGACCCCGCACAGCTCGCAGGCCCTGGTCACCCGCGCATCAAGATCCGCATGGATATCGACGCCTTCGCGAGAACCAATAAGATCAGGAACAGGTGGAGCGTGGTGGGCGGGGCCATCCCTGCCTAGAGCCTGGGATGGGTGGAGCCCAGGACCCCTTGGGCCAATTGGGGTCTACTGTGTGTGGGGGCTCTGTGGGGCGTGGCCCAGGGCTTCCGGGGCGGGGGCAGCACCTCGCGCTCCCCGACGGGACGAGATGCAGGCGGGCACAGACGTGTGTGCTCGAGAGTTAAGGCGGTGATGGGCGGGGCCGTGGGACTCCCCGGCCTCTCCCCGGCCTCTCCCCGCCCTCTCCCCGCAGCCCACCACCGTGCCCCATGCAGGTTCTGGGACCCGGGCCCGGCTGCTGACCCCTTGACAGACCTGCGCTGTGTGTGGTGTGGCTCAGCGGCACCGAGGCCCGTGCAGGCCTCTACCCGCAGCAGACGCCCTCCCGGTGCTACGCGGATGACGCGTGAGCGCCCCCTCCCTGCACATCCACCCCCCTTCCGCCGGCCAGATCTCGGCTCGGGCTCCGTTTGGAACATTCATGCGGTCGAGGCTGCGAGCCACTGTTTTGGAAGGACCGCTCCCTGTGACCTGTAGCGGGAGGAACCGGGATCCCGGAGGGGCTGGGGTCCCCGGGGGCAGGGAGAACGCGGCCTGTGAGGACAGCTGGGATCCTAAGGCTGGAACAGGGGTCAGGGGACATGGGGGGCCCAGCTGCGCCTTTGGATCTCCAGTGCCCGTGGGGGCTGCTCGGGGCCTCTGGCCTCCACCGCAGCCGCGCCCCTGCCTCAGGGTCCTGCGTGTACAGAACCGGTCGCTGCCGCTTTTCCTGACGCCTGGATCCACTCCGTGGCGCCGGCGGTGAAGGCCGTGGTGCGAGGGAAGGAAAGGAGGCTGCGCCACACGATGCAGGCCCTGGGGCTCGGCAGCGCCGTGCTGTGGCTCGGCTGGTTCCTCAGCTGCCACTTGCCCTTCCTCGGCAGCACGGCGCTGCTCGTGCTGGTGCCCAAGGTGCGCACGCCTCGGCCTTCCCGGCTGCGGGGTGGCTGCGCGCGCGCGCGGGCCCCTGGGCAAATCCCGGAGCCTGAGGAGCCGTATTCGCAGCTCGGGGACATCCTCCCCCATAGCTACCCGGCCGTGGTCTTCTTGTTCTTGGCGGCTTTCGCCGTGGCCACCGTGGTCCAGAGCTTCCTTCTGAGCGCCCGCTTCCCCCGCGCCAACCTGGCGGCGGCGTGCGAGGCCTGGCCTACTTCGTGCTCTGTCCGCCCTACGTGCTGTGCGTGGCCTGGCGAGACCGGCTGCCTGCGGGTGGTCTCTGGCTGTGGTGAGACCCGGGGTGGCCGGGTGCGGGGGGGCCCTGCGCTGCGTTTGCTCGCTGACGCCCCTGTCCCCACCGCAGTCTTCTGTCGCCTGTGGCCTCTGGGTTCGGCTGCGAGAGCCTGGCGCTGCCGAAGGAGCAGGGTGAAGGCGCCCAGTGGCACAGGGCGGGCACCGGGCCCACCCCTGGCGTCTTCAGCCCGGCCCAGGTCTCTGGAATCCTGCTGCTCGACGCTGTGCTCTATGGCCTCGCCACTTGGTACCTAGAGGCCATCTCCCAGGTGGGGTAGGGACACAGGGCAGGGGCGTACCTGCAGAAGGGCGGCCGGGCTGAGGCTCTTGGTGAGCCGGGGCAGGGCTGAGGGGCCGCTTGGTGCCTGGAGGCCGTCCTGGGCGGCTCTTCCTGGCATGTAGGCCCGGGTGGCTGCGTTCGAGGGACGGCCTGAGGCAGGCCGGGCCCTCCCACCTGGATGCCCTGATCCCGGGCACGTGGTCAGAAGCTGGCACACCCCAGGGTGATGAGCTCGAGGGGTTAACAGAGCACCGCTCCTCCCAGGCCAGTATGGGATCCCCAAACCGTGGAACTTTCCCTTTCGGAGAAGCTATTGGTTTGGGCCTCGTTCTCCCAAGGGCTCCACCCCGCCTCCCAGCCCGAAGGACCCAGAGGGTGAGGCACGAGGAGACCTGATGGCCGCTTCCCTGTCTGTATGCCCCATGTCCCCCAAAGACCCAGGTTCCTACAGAGCCCGGTCCTCTGCACACCTCCACCCCCCCAGGCTCCGTGGGGCTCCCCTAATGCCCACAGGCCCCAGCCCCGATGGGTCCCTGACCCCACGGGCCAGCGTTTGCGGCCTCCCGGGTCCCGCAGAGCCCCCCCTACAAAGGGCTCCCGTGGTCGAGCCTGGCCTCCTCCCGCAGTGCCGACAGAAGAGGTCCCACCCGGCTGGATTCCTGGGGTCTCCGTACGGGGCCTGGAGAAACGCTTTCCTGGCAACCCCCAGCCAGCCCTGCGTGGGCTCAGCCTGGACTTCTGCCAGGGCCAGATCACCACCTTCCTGGGCCACAACGGAGACGGCAAGGCCACCATGCTGTGGGCGGTTGCCACTGTCCTAATTTCCCCCCGGCCTCAGCTGGCACATCTGCTCAATGGGAGAGGTGTCTGGGGTCTCCACAGGGAAGCCGGGACGACCCCCAATCCACTTGGGGTACGTGGCGGATAGACAACCGTGTTCTCTGAGCCTCAGTTTTCCTCCTTTATAGAACGGGGACATAACACACCTTGAGTCTGGGCACACAGTAGGTGCCTTTTAAGTGCTTTTGCTCCTTCTCTGGGGGTCTCCGTTTCCTCCTCTGAAGGGGCAGCTGCTCTGAGACCCCTTCACCCCCAGGTCCCTACTGTGTGGCCTCTTTCCACCCACTGGTGGCTCTGCCCGCATCCTGGGCCACGATGTCCAGTCCAGAATGGAAGCCGTCCGGTCCCACCTGGGCGCCTGCCCGCAATACAACGTGCTGTCTGACGTGCGTCTCGGCGGGCCCGGGGGTGCAGCGTCAGGGGTGGCGGGGCTGGGTGTTCTTGGGGCTCTGCCTGCCACGGGGGCCGTTGTTCCAGCGCGTGGCTGCAGGCCGACCTTGGAGGAGCACATCTGGGCGGTCGAAGGGCCTGAGTGCAGGAGCTGTGAGCCCCGAGGAGGCCCGTCCACTGCAGGACGTGGGGCTTGTCCCCACGCGTTGTGCGCAGACCCGCCGCCTCTCTGGTGAGCCCAGCCGGGGAGGAGCATCCGGGTCGGTGGAAATGGTGCTGGGAAGGGGGTTGGGACTTTACCCCAAGGGCCGTGCGAGGCCAAAGGAGACACCAGATCCGGGAGGCCCAGAGGGGCTAGGCACGGAGATCCAGGGAGTGGGGAAAGGGGGCGCGGGGAAGGGACGCAGCCCTGCCCAAGACTGAGGGGACGGTGCTGGGACCCCCGCACCTGCCTCTGCCCAGGTGGGACACGGCAGAAGCTTTCAGTGGCCATCACCTTTGTGGGCGGCTCCCAGGTTGTCATTCTGGATGAACCCACGGCTGGTGTCGACCCTGCTTCCCGCTGCAGCATCTGGGAGCTGCTGCTCAAATACCGAGAAGGTAGGAGTTGGGGGAGGCACGAGGTTCCCCTAGATTCCGATTCAGCGGCCAGAAAATGTTTCTGACGAAGTGCTTGGAGTGGGGTTTTGAGGGATGAATAGGAGTTGGATGCCAAACAGGGCAGCGCGGCTGGCGGGAACGGGCTTGACTCAGGGCAACAGGCTCCGTAACTCCAGCCCGGACCCCTGACCCCATGTGAACTGCGGGCCCGATCTCCGGTCACCTCTTGCCCTCAGGTGCTTAACCCTAACCTCCTCTGCCTGCAGAGACAGGTTCCCGTGGGTCACTCCAGCCCCTTCCCCGAGGACAGCCGGCTGCGTCCCCGGTTGACGCGCCCCCGTCCACCCAGGTCCCGCCCAGCTGCTGTCGCTCGTGTGGTGCCTGGTGCCCGGGGCGCGACTGGTGAAGGAGCTGCCCTACGGGTCTCCCCCAGCAGCACACCCCGGGGAGGAGGCAGGGCACATGCAGAGGGCCCCACGGCGTCTTGGGCGCGGGCGACTCCTGTGGGGTCCCGGGCTGAGCCCCCGCTCTGTCTCCCCAGGTCTTCCCGAAGGTGGTAGAGGCTTGCGCTGCAGACGTGGACCCAGAGGACGCGGCCACAGGTCCCTGTCCTTGACCCCGCGCCTTGATTCAGAATTAGACTTGGCTTTACGGCGAGGCCCCAGCCTTGGTTGCATCTCAAGGCGCAGCCTCGACCTCCACCCCTGATTCCCGACCGCCTCTGTCTGCGACCCAGGACCTTTGTCAGACCCTCGGCTGAACGGGGACCCTCACACCTGAACGCACCCCTGATGGCCCCACAGATCACCAGCCACAAGCGGCACCTGGGCGCGGGCCTCGCTCCCCCAGACGTGACCTCACGGCTCAAGGTTCTGCCGGAAGAGTCGGCCCTGGAGAACGGGGGGCTAGGTGAGTTGTCCCGCCTCGAGTCTGCGGTCCCTCCCTGTCCCCTGGAGCCTGCGCACTGACCCTTCCATCCCCCTCAGCGACGTCTGCCCCGGAAACACGGGTCCTGCAGGGCTTTGGGCCAGACCCCGCGGGCCGGGGACAGGGCTGGGCGCTGACCCGCCAGCAGCTCCGGGCCCTGCTTCTCAAGCGCTTTCTGCTTGCCTGCCGTGGCCGCCGTGGCCCGTTTATGCAGCTGAGGGGGAGCGGGCGCCAGAGGAGGGCGCGCGGGCAGCCCTGGGTGCCTGTTTCCTACTCCCGTCACCCACTCAGCGGTGAACCCGAGAAGTCTCCCCCAGTCTGAGCACCTTTACTGAGAGCACCGGGGAGCCA